TATGATGAAAATTACAGGCCTCTCTCATCTTTTTAAGTGGGAGAACTTGCACAATTGGTGGCTGACTAAATACTTTTTTGCCCCACTGTAAATGTAATAATAAAGATAGAAATAAAAACAAAATCAAAGATGGTAAGTTGAAACATATCAGCCATATATTTGATTATGTATTGTTCTGTTCTGTTCTATTTGGGAAGATAAGATTTTCATCTTGTTGCCCATTTGCTCAGTCTTCCCCATTTTTCTGCTTCAGCACGAACTGTTAGGCTTAGGACTTGGGGCTTAGACAGGCTGTGGAATACACATCGGCTGTTTCTGCATTTTAACTGGGTTCACACAGGGCACTCATCTTTAATTTTAAACCATAGCTTGTCAAATAAGTTACTGTTGATTGGGTTTACCATCATAATCCATAATGGATGAGTTCACAGTCATGCTAAGCACAAGCAAAGAAACTATTCTTTGCCTGTATGCATTATATTAACCTGGTCATTAATTAAGTCAACAGTGATCACCAAAATAAAAGCAGTCCTAAATGTCCTATTCAGTAAATTCATTTAAAAATTGTTGTGCTCTGCTCAATATTCAGGGGAAGAAAACTGCAGGTATGGAGCCATTATTCTTTGCCTGTATGCATTATATTAACCTGGTCATTAATTAAGTCAACAGTGATCACCAAAATAAAAGCAGTCCTAAATGTCCTATTCAGTAAATTCATTTAAAAATTGTTGTGCTCTGCTCAATATTCAGGGGAAGAAAACTGCAGGTATGGAGCCATCTCCTAGAAAATCTTGCCTCACTGCTGTGCCTGGACTAGCCATCTCCAACCTGATGCCCCCTGCACATGTACAGCAAGTCCCAGAAGGAGTGCACCAGTTTGGGAAAAGCTGTCTTAGGCTGTAGAACTATAAAGAAGCTTCCCAGGAGAGTCTGATGTCTTTATGGACGTTAGAAAACAGGGGATGATTCATGGTTCTTTCTTTTCAATGCTTGCATCTCCATCACAGACATTCTCTTTTCCCTCCTACCAGGTCTCAACCAAGTCAGGATACAGGCCGTCATGTTCCAGGGGAGCTGACTACTTGTCCAGTTTTGCCAGAAACACATGCACAGTCAGCAGAAATGAAGTACGTTCTAAGGTGGAGGATGGAAAGAAATCCTCAGCAGAAACCCAGTAAAGGCATCTGAAGTTCTAGAGATAAAGAACTTTGAACATTTCTATAGAAACCAAGAAAAATTCTGAGCCAATCCAAGAGTTTGAAAAAGTACTGACTTTCCACCCCCAACTACCCAGGTGCCTCCCCCCAGAAAAAAACTTTCTTGCCATCAGTTCTTATACAGTTGCATGCAAACATTTAGGCATCCCAGTCAAATTGTATGTTCCAATGAATCCCAAGTGAACAAAAGTTAATATACCTCCTATATGGGACATGGTTAAAAATGGCATCTTTCTGTAAATTTCAGTGCATATTTATTATTTATATGCACATGTTTAAAGCCTCAAAATAAAACAGTAAGCAGATTCAGAAGTTTAGATACTTTTCCAGTCAGTACTTTGTAATATCTCCTTTCAAATGTTTCCTGTAACTAATTAAGAAAATCTTTTGAAATCTTTTCCCGCTCTTCCTTGCAGAATTCTTCTAGCTCAGAAATATTCTTCCATGCATTGCATTTTGAGATCATCCCATAGATTTTTAATAGATTCAAGTCTGGGGGCCGTGAAGGCCATTTCAAAACCTTTATCTTTGTTCCATGTAAATATTTTGTGATTGATTTGGAGGTATATTTCAAACTATTTTCTTGCTTGTATGTGCATATGTGTACATACCTGCCAGAAGTTACATTTTAAAAAAGCAGGGGAAGAATAAAAAATTTTACCAAACTCTGCAATACCATGACACTCTGAAGTAATAAATGAATGTGTGTGATATACACCCCATAAAACTAAATAACATATAATGTCAAAGAAACAAAGCTGTGGTGATTGGAATTTTGACAAATAGTTAAGCACAGGGGTTTAATCGTCTCTTGAAATTTGCTCTGGGCTTTGCTCCCCACTTTCTCTGCACAAACCTGCTGTGGGCTTAACCAGACAAAATATAAATGAATTTGGACAGAACACTCATTATGCCTAACCGGCTTAAAAAAAAAGTCAACAGCCCTGTAAATTGATACCAACTTCCCAGAGGTCATGTCCCATACTTTGGCAACACTTGGATTAAAGGAAAAGAGTAGCTGGAATAGGAGGGTAATGAAGAAAAAGGGAGGAATAAAAATGGATAGAGATCAGCTGAAGGGAAAAGCTCACTAGGTAGGGAAGAAAGAAAAGAGAGAGATGTCTTAATTAGACATTGCAAAAAGTGTTAAATTAATCAAACAGCCCTCCCAAATAACAGCTAAATTTCAGGCTAATCTTCAAAAGCAACTCTGCTTTCCAGGAGCAGTGCCTGAGCATTTGTACCTCTTGTCCATTCCTTTGTTTTTAATAGCATCTGTTATTCTTATCAGTGATTATAAGAGGATCATCTCAAAGATGCACTGCCTACTGGGAGATCTAAGAATATTTCTGAGCTAGAAGAGTTCTGCAAAGAAGAGTGGGAAAAGATTCTAAAAGTGAGAACAAATATTCTTAGTTATAAGTAACAATAAAGCTGTTATTTCTGCCAAAGAAAGTATTACAAAATTGGAAGGGTGTCCAAACTTCTCTAGGTGCCACATTCAGTGCTTTCTCATTTTGAATCTGTGCACATAAATAATAAATGTGCACTGAAATTTGCAGAAAGATGCCATATTTAGCTATACAACATGTAGAGATTCTGTCACCTACCGTTCAACCATGAATTCGTTGAAATATGCAGTTTTACCAAGGTGCCTAATGTTATATAGACAACCGTATACATATCTAATTTGGACCCAACACTTTGGCCAATTACCATGCATTTCTTTGGAATCACTGTTTTCCTATTGAAAAAATATATGTATTTATTCTTTCTTGTTTCTATATAGTTATGTAAAATCAAGCTTCAAGATAGTCCAGGAATGTACCAATATTACAAGGCTGTTCTGTAATCTAACAAATGAATTTGCAGATATTTGCAAGGAATATATGTATATTATAGTAAAGCAAGACACCAACAATGGAATAAATTATTCAGATTTACTACCATTCAATCCATTCTTTGCACGTAAGTAATTTCTTCCTTATTTTTGTTTGAATCACTCGCTATGTGTTAATTTTATCACTGAGACCTCAAATCAAGTCATCTTCCCTTTGGGGAAATAATGGTTTTTGTTGACTTGTCAAGAGAGTTGGCCTTGATTACCTTTTTCTCCAATTATACTATACATTTAATGAGATTTTAAAAAGCCTAGGCTATAAGTTAAGAGTGGCACAAAGGATCAGGTTCTACTTTCAGGGCTGACTTTCAGAATCAAAATTGTAATGGTATGTGGGAATGACCTTGGGAGACGGGGAAGAGATGTTGCCTAGGGAACGGTTAGATAAGAAACAGCATAGCCTCCGCCATAATGGGCGGAGAAAGAGGCTCAGAACTGACCCTCCCTAACTTCTCAGGCTGTAAAGGAGACAGCAGGGGATTTGTACTTTCAGGCTTGCAAGACTGATGTCAGCCTTCCCAAGTAGATCACATACGAAACATGATCAGATGGCTAATACTACTTTATTGTAAGACTACATTAACAGAATCTTGCAAATCTGAAAGTACAAATCTCCTACCATCTCCTTTACAGCCCGAGAAGTTAGGGAGGATCCCTTCTGAGCCTCTTTCTCTGACCATTATGCAGCTGCGGGCTATGCCCTCTCTTATCTGACCGTTCCTTAGGCAGCATCTCTTCCCCCCATCTCCCAAGGTCATTCCCACATACTATTACAAAATAGACATTGATAATTACAGCAAAACAATACTAAAAAGTAAAAAATAAAAGAAATATTTATCTTTCTGTTAAAAATAGTATTTATAAGAATTCAAATAGATTCGATTAGAAATCCTATTTCCAAGCTATTTATGTTTTAGAATGTTACATTTGCTAAAGCTAAAAAAAAAATCTAGATTGTCAGGAAATTTCATTGATAATTTCTTTTATTTACTTTTTAATCAGGATGCTTAAGGCCACCCCAGTTTAACATTTCTGTTTGTCAAAGCTGTGTAAAAGTCACAGTGAAACTTTTACCTCTGTTACTTAAAGTTTATCAAGAACTTTATTATACAATCACAGTGAAAACAGATGTTCTCAAAGAAAATGTAAGTAGTTGATTATTAAAGTTCTTAGACAATATCAAAGGGAATTCACTTTGTAATTAAGAAATTTGCTAAGTTTTCTGCTGCATTTTATAATATATATCTCAGCTTCAGATGTTTTGAACTCACATTGTTCTTAGCCATTGTAACCTTGGTTTCTTCCACCATTCCAGTAGTTACAGTTCAGTGTTTATATTCATTGGTACTGAATGGAATGGTGGAATCCAGATGAACAAGATTGCTTTTTATGGGTTCAGAGCTCCAACTGAACTTGCTGGATTGAGCTGTTAAGACTAATATAGGAAACCAATTACCATACTAGCATACAAGCCTATAGAGTTGAATTAAATTAACAGAATATCAAAAAGCAAGATAGTACATTGGCATTGCAATGTCATACAATTCAGGAATACGAATTGCAAGAATGAAACTACTGCTGTTGCCATTGATGTTATTGTTGTTGTAGTTATTAATAGTAGTAATAGTAGATATTTTTAGAGCACAGAGTATCTCAGTGTTTCTCTAACCCCATATAGAAGATGACATTCTTAAATAGAAAGCAAGTGCAAAGCTATGCCTTGATTTCAGGTTAAAGTTTCACCAGCTCACATCATTTATCTATATCTTTTCAATGCATTTTAAAACAACTGACCAATTGTTTGTCTTTCATAGCGTATTCATAATACAACCAAACATGAGAGTTTCTTCAGTGTTCTTGAAGATTTGCATCCAAATAAAAATTACTGCATTGCTGTTGATGTGTCTACAGATTATAACAAGCAGTGCACTCCAACTATTCCAAAATGTGTTATGATTGACTCCAGTTATACTCAAGGTACAATGAGTTATGAAATGAGGAATGGGAAGGGTCAGAACTTCCTTTATTTTGTGAAAAAGACTAAACATAGAATTTGTTTAACATTTCAGTAACTTTTGCATGTTTATATTATGGTTCGTTATCTCCCGGACAAAGTCAGAAAGTTTTGTAATAATCTGCAAATACATTATTGCATCATGAAATATCTTTTTAACCTGCAGATCACATTATACTCTCAATCTTCATTCCAATAATAATATTGGTATTGATATTCATTTCGATTATCCTGTATAAGGCTGGTTTTATTTTCCTTAAAAGGAAAACACGGCCAAGTGTCTTGGTAAGTAGTGTGGCAAATTCTTTCAACTTACTATTGGTATGTCTAGAGTAGGTCAACTGAAGATGATGAAGGGGGTTCCCAGAAGGGGCTACATGTCTCTTACACTCCACTGAACATTCCCTGTATTCCTTGTCCCTCATAGACTTGAGATGGTTTAGCTTCTGCATTAGTTTAACTAATAAGTTTATGGGAAAGATTAGTCATTTCTACCCTAATGGCTGTGAGATACACACTGCTCTTAGGTTTACATGTTCAGTCAATGTGTCAAAGGGAACAGCACTCACAGCTTGGCTCTGTCCCCTCTCAGACACATGTGTATTTTCTGACTTCGCTTCTATGGCAGAACCTGAAATGCAAGTTGGTCTGAGCTTACAATCAGGAACCTGCATGTAGTTTAAAAAGGCTTCTCTACAGTATGTAACTTCAGACTTGATTTGGAAGGATTAATTTTCTGTAAACAGCCAGCTGGTAATCCCCACACTGGATTCTTATTTTAAAATAGACAGGTTATGTTGCTGAGGCTAAATGAATTCCCACTAATTATTATGTAATTATCTCTGACCTACATCAGAAATGAGGAAATATTTTCTGTTCAAGGGAAATCCATCTCTCCTTCTAAGTTGAGGCAGACTACACCAGGGTGGGGTTTGACAGTAACATGAGCAGTGAAACTCTATTAGCGCCCCGCCCTCTGATCTCACTGATCTCTCAGTGTCAGAGAGCACAATGGATGTGTCAGAGAAAAGGGGTATCTGTCACATGCTTTCTCTCATTCATGAACAAGGTGCCAAACAAGGCTGCAAGGATCACCTCTGCCTTCCTATTGGGAGCGTAAAGCCCCACTGAATCCCAGCACTTGCTATCTCATAGCTTCCTTAATAGAAAAAAGTGAGGGGTTGGGCTTTGGCCACCAGGAGGTTTACTGGGAGCTTCTCTGTACTTTCTACAGTCCATTTGTTCAAGGAACATTTTTTCTCATCAAGGAAGAAGGGAAATAGGAAACTGCAACTAGTTAACCACAAGGGAATTCAGTGCAGAGTTAAAGAAGAAAGTGTTTTAGATTTTCAGGGGGAAGAAAGGTTAATAAAGCCCCTGCACTGAAGATGCAGAAAAGCAAAGAAATATCACTGAAAGTGAAAGGACTTTGTAGGTGCTTCAGGGTTAGGCTGCCATCTTTTATCACATGCCAACACTGTTTTGAGAACATCTGTGAATGTTTGTGCATGTCAACATTTGTTTTAATTTTTCCCAGAACATCAGACCTAACATGGCTAATTTGGTCTTTGAATCGGGTCTTGAAGAAGTGGATGATGTTCAAGTCCAGGAAAGTAAAGAACAGCAATACAGTGAGGATGAGGACAGTGAAAGTGATATTGAAAGTAACTTGAATACTAAATGTGGCATCTTAAATAAGATTTCAAATTTCTCCCCTGAGGTGGGCATCACTCAGAAGCTGTCCATAGGCTGCTCAGCTACCTCAAATGAAGTAATCAGAACTTTAGATACTACAGCAGAAAAAAATCAGAATGATACTGACAAAAGCAGCCCAATTACCCAGTTATATCCTTCCAAAGTGAACTCCACCTGCATAGCAGAATCAGAACATAGAGGCTGCTTAAATGTAAACTTAAATACTGTGATGCTAGGAATACTGGATGAAAAATCAGATTTTTTTACAACAATTGACCATGAAGATATACCAGAGTCCTGTATTTCTGATGCATTTGAACCAAACCATTTCACTGAAATGCCAGATGGGCAGAGCTTTGATGTTCAAAGTCCTCTATATTCATGGAAAAATCCTAGTGTGTCTGGAGAAAGTGAATCATCTGATTCAGAAACAGAATTTACCAGTGGATATATGAGAAGATGACTCCATGAAAAGATGTTTGTGTGTTGTATATGTGTATATACATGGGAATAAACTGTTGTATCGTTCATTCCTATATATATCTGTATATATGACACAACAGTTTATTCCCATGTAAAAAAAAAAAGTGCGTCACATACTATAATCTCTGCATCTGCACCTGTCACCTGTTAGTTGGGCTGCTTGCAGAAGAGTAGTAACCCAATGTTCAGAAGTGATCCAAACTGCAGGAGAACGCGGGGGGCTTGTGCCATGAAGCAGCAAAAAAAAAAAAAAAAGCCAGCTTGCTCTCTCCTGTTTTACCCCACAGGCAGCTACCTGGCAGGTAACACGAGACAATCTTGTGGGAAAGAACACTATCCAAAGCAGAAAGGTCCTGGAGGACAGTGCCCAGGGGCTGGGTGAGAGGGGCCATATCCACACAAGGCTGAAGTGGCCAGTATGTGCTGGACTGATCAGCCCCGAGGGTAACCTGAGCCTGCCACCCACAGAATGTTTGATGAGGCACATCAAGTTGTTCTCACAGTAAAGCTGCTGTGGTTTGTTGCTCATATAAAGGGGAAACACCAGGAAAGCTAGGAACAACTTAGAACTACCTCAGATATGGGGAGGAGATGAGATGAAGGCAGACTTCATAAGGACATGGCAGAGAAACAGTTGCCAGGGCGTGTTCTTACCACAGGTGCACGTCACCCCTATGTGGTAGACCAGACTAAGAAACCAATGTCATATAGGACAGGACTATTATTTTATTCTAACAGCTATAGTAACCGAATCTTGCAAGTCTGAATGTGCTTCCCTCTCCCTCACTTTATCTTTGTATGAACCAGGGAGGAACCTGGCTGAAACATTTGCTTAAACCAGTTTCTTGGAAGAGGCTCAAACCAGAGTTATCTGGCCATTGCCTTGGTAGTGGCTCTTCCTCCTGTCCTTCAAGGCCATTCCCTACTTCTTCTACATTGCAAATGAAAAAGGCCCTTTCAGAGATACAGCTTCCTCTGTCCCTCCTTCCCTTCCTTTGCAAGGCACTAATTAGGAGAGCACTAATTTAGGACGGAGAAACATTTAACTCTTTCTTCCATTTCTTCATTCCAAATTATCCCTGAAATGATAATGCGATTCATTTAAACAACAAAAAGTGTTGGCATTGTATTATCTGCCTTTACTGTATATTGAATGTGGAAATTGGTTCCTGTGGATGCCATTTGATTAAAAAAAATTTTTTTAATATGTAATTACATATCTTCATGTACAGAGCTGGAGCTACAGTTTACAAAGACATTGTGGCTGGCCAACATTTTTTCTATAGTTGTGTAGATATTCTTGCTGGCTGGGAATTCTGGAAGTTGAAGTCCACACATCTTCAAATTTGCTAAGATTGAGAAACACTGTATTAAACACTGTATAATAAAAGATTAAATACAAAGCAACCTGAAACTTCTTAGTACGTGACATTATTACAGTGCATTGTACTTCCCACACAGTGATATTTTGTGTGTGATTCCTGATCAAACGTTCTGAGAACAACTGTTTACTACTTTTAGAGCAGTCCTGCTGCCAGCAGGGCTTCCAACTGGCTGTTTCAAATAATCTTTCCTGAACACACACAAAATGTTTGCCCATACATTTCCAGGATAAGTAATGGTAGAAAATTCCAGCCACCCTTGCACAATGGAAATTGTTTAAAAAAAAAGTATATTTCTTAAACTATAATAGCAGTGCTACTTATTCATTATAATCCATTTTTTTCAAGAAAGTTACTCTTTCTTTCTTATGTCCCCCTCTTCTTCCCTCCCCCTTCCCCCCCTTTTCCCCCTTTTTTCTTGATTTTGTTTGTATTTTAACTTTTTTGGAAAACATAATAAAATTTATATTAAAAAAAGAAATTCCTACATACAAACTTTTTGTTATAATAAGAAATTTATAATAAAAATTATTGTGAAATATTTTTACATATTTATAGTTTCAAATCCTGGTGTGTGTGTGTGTGTGTGTATGTGTTTTACTAAAGTCCTCCAGCAAATCACAAAACAGCAAATATAGTAAAATAATAAAAAAAAGTGGACACAATTTATTAATGTGCTATTAGTATTCTGCAGTCTAACAATTAGAATGTTTGATAAAAGCATTCAAAGCCTTCTTTAAAGGACCAAGTGTGTATTAAAAGGAACAAATTAGTGTATTTCCTTAAACCCAACCAACCAAAAACACAGTTTCTCAGCAAGCTGCATTAGAAGGGAAGCCTGCTAGAATAGTCAAATTAGTGAAAATGTACAGCTTGGACAATTATATTTCCCTTTAACAGATAGTTGGTGGAATCTCTCTTCTTTCAGACAAACGTTTGACCTAAACAAGTCTCTTGCAGCAGTAACCAGTTTTTCATTTTTGTCAAATAATAGACAAACCCCCAAAGCTATGCCCTATGGCAGACTTATATGCCATCTCTGATCCTATATCTCCTTTGACAGTATGAATGTAGGACCTAATAATGGGCTCTTTCTCATGGCCATGTTAATTTGCTTTTCTAAAAAGCTCTAGGTATAAAATAACCTTTTGATCTCCTGGAGGAGAGCCATATTCTATCAGAAGCTCAGGATAAAAGCACTGCTTCCCCAGGTCTGCATGACCTCCAAGCAATCAGGCAATTCAAGCGAATAAGCCAGGCAACATGCAACGCTCGGGGGCATTCTAACATGCAAGAGGAATTGGGAGAAAAGCCCCCAAGGTTAGTGTTTATCCTATCCACAACAGCAAAGGAGCGGAGAATGAAAATAATATAAAATAATGAGCTGGTAGCCTTGTTCAACTGGCGGGAAATCCATGCCTGTCTTGGCAATGTAGGGTGGCCAACGTGCAGGGACTTGCAGCTTGCCATCTGAGGAGGAACCATAGAGGGCAGCAATTGGATCCTTTTGCCAAAAGTGACATAAACAATTTGTTCATGAGCTTAATGAGTGCCAAGGATCACATAAAGTGATGAGTTTATTTTTGCTTACCAATGGGAACTATCAGTCCCATTTCCAGCAAGACTGATATTCCCATGTCCAGCACCAGCCCCCCCCCCAAAAAAGGCTGCACAAGCAAGGCATCTAACCTTATAACCACAACCAAAATAGCCACAGAAGTGCAGGACACAGTTACCAGTCAGAAGGGCACAGTCCCACAGGAGACCTGCCAGGCTCATAAGACCTCAGCATATTGCCAGCTTCCAAATGCTCCTTTTCAATGCACCTTAAAATGTCCACATAGGTGGTCTTCTGTCAGAATACTGGTGAAAATACTATTTTCATGCCAGAACACCTTAGCCCAAATTCAGAGTGGCAATGATATGGAGGCAACATAGTGAGGACATGTCCTCTACAAATAGTTTGTGGAATTTCTTAGTAAACCTAGGGTCTACTATATCAGTGAATATAACTATCATCTGGATCCCCTTCAGTTGTTTTGGTAAAGTTGTTGGGTGCTGTTACTACCACAAAAATGTTATAAGACACTCTAGGTCTCAGCAGTAGCAGCACCTGGCTCAGTTTGGGTTCCAGGGCTAAGATAAGTTGGGCCTAGTTAGTTCTTGGAAGGCAGACTACCAGAGAATACTACAGCTGTAGGCTAGACTGAGAAATTGGGGAAAAAAAATTCTGAAAGAAAGCAATGACAAGCTACCTCGCACTGTTGCCAAAAAATCTGTACTGGTATGGCCATGGCAGTTATTGGGAGCCAAATTTGATTCAAAGAAGAGCTTTTGAAGCCAATCCATCTCTATTTTACATATATTCTAAAAAAAAATAGAAGAAATCTAAACCAGAAATATGATTAATCTTAAGAGTGGCTATTACAATGATTCTTAAACTGGGGGTAATTTGGGCACCCAGATTAAAATACCCAGAATCATGGACCTCATCAACCTCTGCCTCACTCCCTATTTTCAGTTTGATGGACAAATATACAGTGGTACCTCGGTTCATGAACTTAATTTGTTCCATGATTCTGGTCATGAACCGAAATGATCGCAAACCGAATCAAATTTTCCCATAAGATTCAATGTAAATAAGGTGAATCTGTTCTGAACCATATGTATTTATTTTTTAACCACAAAAATATGAAGCAAAGTACAGTGCAGTACAGTACAGT